GTATCTTCACCAAAGACTGCTGCTTTACAATCAGCATCGATTTATAAAGAATTGGAAGAGCTGTTAGCGGAAACGAGACACCATATGCGTTTGCATTGGTTTGACAAATGTTTGTTAACGATAACGCAACTTGCCGTAACGTCCGTTGTTATATTTATGATTTGCGGTGTTGGTGCACTCGTTTGGATCCTATTAAGTCATTACAATATAGAAGTGCCCGGAACTATCTCGGTTATGATTGTACCAACAGTCATTACTACCATCATTCACATCTTCCCAGCGATTATCTCCTACCTAGTAAGTAACCTGCGTTTTCTATTGTAAAAATAGTTTATTATAATATTAATATTTTTAGGCATCGTTAGAACACTACAACAACAAACGCACGGAACTTTATGTGACAGTTGTCAGAAATTACGTGGTTGCCGCGACGATAATCGGCACTTTAATCGCCTTCTGGATAATCAACAGTACATCGCACTGTTGGCAAACGCACTTGGGGGAAGAAATCTATCGGCTTGTCATATTGGATTTTATCGCTTCGCTATTTGGGACGTGTTTGCATCTTGCACGTTCCAAGCTTTATAAAAAATTATCGACGAAAGTCTGCAGACCGGAATTCGATATCGCTCGCAATACATTAAATCTTATATACAATCAGACGCTCTTTTGGATGGGATTTTATTTCAGTCCGTTGATGTCTGTTATGATCGTGATAAAATTAATTTTCATATTTTACGTGAAGAGGTACGAGCTGAAAAGATACTACCAGCGGCCGTCACGGCCTTGGCGTGCGGCACAAACGCAAACGCTGTTCTTGGCTCTTGCGTTTCTCAGCATTATCATCGTGCTGTTCACGATAGGATACGTCATCACAAACGTGAAGAGTAACGAATGCGGACCGTTCAGAAATCATCCTCACACTTGGGATTTTATTGTCGACGGAATGTTATCGTTGAAAAGAGATAGCCCGTTCTGGAACGTTGTTTCAAAGCTTGCGAGCCCAGTAACCGGCGCTGTAATATTGATTGGCATGTGGTAAATAATTTATGAACACATGTACATATATTAAAATGATATAAATAGATGTACTGATTTATTAAGTATTTTTTGTTAAAGTATCGCGGTGTATTGTCTACGGGCAGAAACGAAAGCGAGTGAGGAAATGTTACGAATTTTGTCCGACATGCTTCTTCTGCAGTCTCAAGATAAGCAGTTTCTGTTAAAAACTTTCGGTAAATGTGCTAACAAACGTGAGTCACGTCTACTATTAAATTATATAGGTATCCTTATGTATTGTTGTTAACAAAACATATATCTCTTTCTTTTATTAGGTGCGCCTGTTCCTAACGAGATTAATCTTTCCCAGGATGTTGGGCTTGCCGAGGAAAATTGTGGAAATGAAGAAGTTTTACTTTCTCGCCGACGTAACTTACCGTCGACTAGTTTCGAAGAAAGATGATTGTAAATGAAGATGAAAGTTAATAATATGCACTAGTTGACAATTTGATGACAAACTGCCAAAGCATGTATTAGAAAGGTTTATTTTCGTACAGTTATATTTACACTTAAATCTCATCTGAGAATATTGCTTCTACGATTGCCTAAATCTGAACATTCAAAACTGTCGTATATGATAAAATAAGAACATATTTTTAATACAATAAGTATTTTATATGATATATACAAGTAATAATTATTTATGTAAGTAGATATTTGCGGAAGATATATACAAACAGTAATCTTTTATTTTGATATATAGAATATTCGTAAATAAATCCGCGATTTATCTTTTATGTCTTTTTCTGATCGTTTCCAATAATCTCCATTCCGTTGTCATAGTTACGTGATATACATACGTGTAGCATGTTGATTCAAGCAAATAAGACATTACCTTTGTCGATATACTTGTCACTTAACTGTTTGGATCTGTTAATTGCATATTTGTTGATAAAATAGCAAGTCCTATCAAGAACTTATTCATACATTTTCTAAGAGTAGCAATTTTGAAGGATATCATAATGATAAAGATACAAGACATTTTTTCTTTGGCTAGGCTTGCTAATGATATTTGCAATTAGAGAATGTGCCTTTGTATCTTCGATATGTTAACTTAAGTGACAGAAATGGCTGAAGGAAAGGAGATACGTGGAACTTCGGGCAAGATAAATGCAATAGCGGAACATAAGGACTATCCGTCGCCGGAAACGTCGAAAGCGCTTGTAGAGAAGCAAAAGTTGATACAGGAGTCTTCGTGGACGAGAACTGTCCCGTACAAACACTGGCATAGCTATGTGAAACCTACCGACAGTATAGGCAGTATCTTCACACCCGGCATACCCGCGTATCGAATCAGGACCGTGACCAAACGCGACGTCAAGCCTGCACGATGGCATCCTTTCGGTGCCGACGGAGTTCTCGCGAGTCCCCCTCGCGCTTTCATCGAACGACATAATGAAGAAGTTAAGCGAAGAATCGCAGCCGAGAAGAGACGCGACTCTTTGCCGGAAAATATAGTGAGCCTGAAAGATCTGGCGGATGATACGTGGTTGCGGAAGAAAAGTCGGAGTGCGAGAATCTTGATGAAAAAAGAATTATCTCTACGCAAGGAGAGGATAACAAAGCGAAAGTTGGATCGGGAGGTAACGAGAGACATTTTTGTAAAACTCACAAGTGCTTCAAATAAAAGAATTTGAATTTTTTTTCTAATTCAATTGACAAATGGATAATAAAAATATAGCATCGTATATTATAGATGAAACGTTATGTCGAGGCGGAAATTCCAAAATCCGTGGAAGAACAATTAGCCGAGTTAATGGCGATAATCGATAAGGAACAGGAACGGTTAATAAAACCTGAGGATATTGCTAAAGTAGTTTATCTTAGAGATCATTGCATAAGCGATCATCACCTACAACCATACGATTATGTTAACATCGACGCAGCGAAGAATCGTATCATTGGCAAATTTCAAGAACGAGAAAAGTAAGTGTAGGCTATTCGATAACGGTGACTGTATTCGTGGCGAGGTGGACAG